TTGATCCCTTTGAACACTCATTCATAAAACAGTGTGTTGTTTTTCTCAAAGTGCTCATGAGAATTTTAAACATATTCAAAATAGTTCAAATTTGTTTGTAAGAGTTGTGGGGTCATACTAGGTGTCTGGAATCCATAATGATCTCTTATAAACTTCTTCTCCATTTTAAGTGGGCCTACACTAATTCCTTACATTTGTCAGGGTCTCTAGTATGAATGAATGCATCGTGAGTCATTCTCTGTGGAAGAATGAAAAACTCTGGCGCTCATGTTTCATGATTGGAGGCAGGTTGCGGACAAACATCAGGATTTGGAGTCTTACTCATTAATATTCATGATATGCAAACATTTTAGCTCTGATTGGCTAACAGCGATGCTATTCTTCCGCTGTCTCTGCTTGGGCTTCTTTCTTGGGTGAAAAATACAATATTGATGTCATTACATATCTAAACCTGTTCTGTCATGATTTGGGAGTTAATGCTAATGCTTATAGTTAGCTTCTGCTTGCCGAGACATGCTCTGCTCTCTCCTGGGTGCAAAATCAATACAGACTTCTGCACACAAGTCAAGATGGGTGAGCCAATTAATGCAAAAACTTCCCAGTGACGTAGAAGAGACTGGCTTTTTCTGACCCAAATGTTTATTTGTCTATTTTCTTTCCACTGATAATGCAGGACACATGGGTTTGGGATTATTTTCTCATTCAGCACACGTGAAACTCAGAGAGACCTGTCATATTTCAAAAAGAACAAGAAAAAGCAGTTTCCCAGTATACTTGGTCTTTAAAGAAAGTAAGAAAACTATCTTTTCTATAGCAGGTGTGTAACAGCTGCAGCTTAGACAGCTCATGGGGCTTAAAGGAGATGTACATTTGAATGTCATCTGCATATAGATGGTAGGATATTTCTTTAAAGGAGCTCAGAATGTGCTGGAGAGGAAGCAGATAGAGGAGGGAGAGCAGAGGCCTCAGCACAGAAGGGTGGTAGTGGAGGACCTAAACTTGGAGACGGCCACATAGAATGAACGCTCAGAAAAATAAGAGGAGAACCACTCCAGAGCAGATCCTGATAGGCCTACGCAGTCTCTCAGCCTTTCCAGTAGCAGGTTTATTTCAACAAGTCATAAACTTTGTAAGGATCAAAATATTGAGTAAAATCAGAATAATTTACTTTGTCTCTTCATATGTGAAGGATGCAAAATTATGCGTCCTTTATTTTTTGACAATCCAAGTTTTCTCAACAAGCTCAAACATAAAAGGCACCATGAGGTGAAGCACTTCCTTTACCTGTTCTTTCTTAAAGCAAAACCTGGCGTTCACATAAACTTTTTACACCTTGCAGACTCCGCACACATGCACAGAAGTGTCAATCTACAGGTTTTCTCTACCAGAAGTGCTGAGGAGGTGTCTGGTTGCAGAGCTGTTCATGGGGTCAGGGCTTGCCACTGATACCTCTAGGGTTTCTCCTGACGATGGCCTGTGTGTTGTAATCTTTTGCATCAATTATTTACCGTAGTACCGGGACTTCACGGTCATAGAAAGGTAGTAAGTCTGCAGGATTTACACCGTAGCCATGTGTCAACTCCAGTTTAGGTGCTGGACAATGTTATTAGACATCATTGCAACTATGTGTTCAAAGGCTGTAATGAATGACTCAAACTGGTTACTTGAACTGCTAATTAAGTCTGCATTCTTTACCTAACTAAAAACAGCGCGCCACCCGTTTGCAGCGCCTTTACGTACCCACTTTAACCATATTCCAGGACTTTCTTGTCCTTGTTATTTCACTGAAAATAGGCAACACTGCAGCCTTTAAAAGTGGAAAGCAATACTCTTACTTCCTTTTTGGTTGAGGGTGTGTGGGGATAACAGTCTGCAGGGTTTTAATCAAGGGCTTTCCCATGCGGTGTCCCGGCTCTGAGGCTTCCCTGGGTCTGAGACGCCCATGGTGAGGAGCATGTGGTTATATCTGGCAGTTACGGAAATGCGCGCATGCACACACACACACACACACACACACACACACACACACACACACACACACACACACACACACACACACACACACAGTGATCTAGTTTTCTTAACACTGGGAGGCCTGCCGTGGGATCTCATTCATCAATCTTACAGCTCAAACCCAGAGATGTGGAGTCAGTCTGGCCACCAAATGAGAGCGCTCTGTTATTAAAATCAAGTAGTGTAACAGAACAGATTCACACTGAAGTCAGTCGTGTAAAAAAGAGCAGGATAACTGATCCTGACAGAGATGGAATAGATAAACAAACAACAAAACAAACTCATAAAAGAAAATAGCATGTCAGGAAAAAAAACACTCACACGGGGTGCAGTTTTTAGATGTGAACAGATTGAATGGCAACAGCAAATCCAGCGTTCAGAGTCAAAAACACTGGGAAAAGGTTGTGGCTAATTTGTTATGTGAAAGTCACATTAAATTCAATATAATGTCCAATTTGAGTTTTGAGGAGTAGAGTCCGGTCAAAAA